ATGACACGTGATGGGAGTGCTCTTTTGCATGTTCACAACTTCCGTTTCCGGTAGAGGAAAACCTGGAGAAGTGTTTACGAGTATAGCGTCAAATCAGTCTTCCTTTACTAAGCTGACTTTTAGTCGAGCCGAACGAAATGATCTGTTTGGATGCCTGTCCGTAGAAGGGAAGGATCGTTTCGTGAACATTTATCGTTATTCGTTACGCTCCTATATCGATTTTTACGTGTGTCATTACACGTAAAGGTAACTACATACAGTAAAGTTACGGAGATTCTGCCGAAAAGAATTCCGATTACACATTTTTCGAATAAAAATATCACTAAACGGCACGTAATTAGTACAGGAAAACATCGACTTTTATACGGGATGATTCTAGTTTCTAGATAAAACTTTAATTTTCATTATTTTACAAATATATCTTAAAAAATGTATATACATCTACAGAAAAGTGCTTATCACCACATTACAAATGTCCTCCCGAATATATGCTAGAGATTGCCGCATTCGGTACGAATGTCTGTCCGTAACGGTGTTCTTCGAACTTCCGTCCGAAGATTGCCACCCGTTAATGAAATTCTCTTTGTTTCTTAATGCGTAAAAAGGGGGTTTAACTCGATTTTTCACGTGAAACGTCCCACGTGCAGCTACATTTAGCAGGTATACACACACAAATATGAAAGTGCTGAGTCGAATGATGATTTTTCTTTTTGTTTACTCGTTTGACTTGTAGAAACACGAACGTACTGTACTTTCGCAATATTTACTCAGCTTGGGACAGGTTAAAATCGCATTAGCCAGTTTCACCGACAATTGTTGTAATATGGACTCATAGGAAATTCTCGGAAGTCGACGTTGTTTTTTAGTTCTTTTATTATCGGCCGACAAATTTCCGTAAATTTTCAGGAAGTGACGTCAACGGACAAAGTTTTAAAAAATATTTTTAGTATTAATTAATACAGTTGTTTACTTCTTAAATGTTTAAACGGTGTAATTGACGAATTGTTTCTATTGGTTCAGAGTTTTTTTTTCGTTTTTTCAAATTCTGAATGACGTAATTTAAAAAGTGTCCTATTGGTTTATATTTTTTAATTCGATGCTCGTGATTTATAAGACTATCTGCTATTGGTCGAATTTTTCTACTATTAAAATTCAAATTTATATAAAAAAGCACGTCATTGGCCCGTTATTTTTTGAGTTATTTTCCGTCGCAAATACTCGTAATTTTCACAAAAAGTCACTCGCCCGTACAAAGAATATTTACGGAAGTTACATTAGCTTAATTACGATATTGTTTCGCCTGGATCCGCGGTATACGCTCCTCTTACAACTTCCGGTTTCGATACCGCGCGGTATCGCCTGCCTGTGACGTAATGGCGTATCGGTTGGATGCGAAATCCGACGGCACTGCAGCAGGCTCGGTCGCGTCACGTGACGTCCACCATCCCTTCTGCACGCGAGGTCGCACGACCGATATTCTTGGGGGAGAAGAATATACTCGAGTGTTACCTTTTTAATATACAAAAATGCATTATTTTATACGCTGTAGAGGATGTCCAAATTGTCATTTTCCTCCTAACACGTTGCTATGGCAATCTTAACCGTTGTAGCGTGGAACAAACGGAATTTATCTCATTTAATATTGCTTTTGTTCTTACGAAGCGCTTGCGGACAGGAAATAATGCTTTTTATATATAGAAACGGTGTATTAATTTAAGAAAATGCGAATAAAATTTCGTTTTTTCGTTTATTATTCGTCGAAAACGTAACAATAAACCTAGAAAATGTAATATTTGGTGGATGTTTACGCCCGCAAATTCCAAGAAAAATCGATAGTATACTTTGACCTGTTGCAGGCTTTATTTATTGTGAAAAATTCAATAATGTAACAATTGTTGACTCTAGTTAGGATTTATACATTACCTACGTCCAGATCTGTAGTTAGTTAACTGTGATAGATGCATAATGCACTTGTATACAACATGCTCCTATCCTCTAGTGTTGCATAAGCATAGTTTTGTTAAGCATCTGTGCATCCGGATGTGGAATTGATGCACTATCGTGATGCATTTCGTTGTAGTTAAGTGCGTGACAAAATGCACCCAGTGTTTGACAAATATATGCCAATTTCTTGTGGTAATTTGGCCGCTCTGGTTTGTGAACTTCAAAATCTGGCCAGATTTCTTTTGGTAATATTTGCTTACATATATTGCAAACTAATTGTAGTCTAGCGACAGTTTGCTTAAGTATATTAATGGCGAATTTGGCTGGCTGCTCTAGAGTACTTGTAGTTCTCTACAAGAACTGAATGACGTAATTTAAAGTGTCCTATTGGTTTATATATTTTTTAATTCGATGCTCGTGATTTATAAGACTGCTATTGGTCGAATTTTTCTACTATTAAAATTCAAATTTATATAAAAAAGCATGTCATTGGCCCGTTATTTTTTGAGTTATTTTCTGTCATAGTTCTCTGCTTACATCTTTCCGTTTTTGACTGGTCATTTGGGTCACTTGTTTACTATTAGTTGATTACTCCTGTGGAGTGATAATGGCATTAATCTACTCTTGCTGCTCGGTAGAGCAGCCAGCCAAATTCAACATAAGTATACATGCAACATAGGTATATATGCATTCAACATAAGTATAAGTGCAAGGATTCTTGGTATGTCTGTGCAATTTAAGTATCCAAAAGTAGATTTTCAAAAATTGGATTGCTGTGAAACTTTTATAAGCATGTATTGAGCAGCTTAAAAATTAGGGTAAATTTTGTATGGATTGAGACAATGGTTTGAGAATTTAAAATGTTTAGTTAATGTATTATTATAATAAGATACTTAAAAAGTTTGACCTTAATGCATACACTGATCTACTCAGAGCATTGTCTAATTCAAATTATTTGGAAGATTTACACGTAGGCTATTTTTTTTTTTATCACTTTAAACTTTTTAATGGTTATACATTGTGTTGTTAAATAAAATAACTTGTTTAAATATGGAGACATTTTCACAATGTACAAATCAATATCAATATTGTAACATTATGCTAAATTGTATTCTGATGTCTCATCTTTATAATATAATTGCATTTGTAATGTGAAAATTGTATAATATTTTCTCACTGGTTATTGTTGGCATTTGCACGATATTTAAAGTTTAATTTAATAATTGATAAAAGAAATGTATATTATGCATTGAAATTTAATATGATTGATTCTTACATTAAGTCAAATCTTTTACTAAGTTGAATCTTTTCTTTATAATGTAACTCCTGTAAATTTAATGTATTTTGTGTGTGTAGAAGTCAAAATGATTTTGAAGACATGTTTTGTAAATTCTGTGTAGAATTCCAATGAATTTCTTTCATTTTTAATTATTTTTTTTCAGACAACAGAGCATATTAAGACAAACTCGAACTAGAAACAAACATTTAATTATTTTCACTTGCAGATACATATAAAACAACTTGATGTGTTGGTGCCTCAAGCCAAAATACAAGAAATGTAAAGGCTAAGGGCATTTTATGCCTTCATTCTTAAACTCACATTGGTTAGTTAAATCTTATAACTAGCCTCTCTTTTTAAATGATTAAAGGGCTTCTTAAAGATTGTATTACAAATGAAATAATGTGTTTTCAAGGCAATTGAGCAAAGCGAAGATAATGTTGAGGGTGAAACAATGAATTGTTTGTCAAATTTATATAACAAACAAACAAAAATATAATGTATTTATTTGTAATTGTATTGTAATATTTATGATTTCACTAATGTAATGGTAATTTTTATAAATAGAAATTTTGTTAACTCAAATTATTCTCTCTTCTTCCCTTCTACTTCGAATAGAGACAACGTTATATAATTTTCACAAATCTTAAATTGCTCAGCCTGTGTTTTCTTTTATTTGTTCAATAGTTCTTTGGTTATTAAATATTTTTTTTTTATGCATAAAGATTTATGCTTATAAGTAAAGTTCTGTACTAGTACTGTGTATTTTCAATATGTCTGGAGCATATTCTCTGTTGATTATTTTTAAGCTACATTAAAAGTAATTTAATTATTATCAAAATTTGGCGCAAAGATTGATAGTTCTTTTGCTGCATTTTGAACTTAATTCATAATTAATTTCTAAATTTAATTATCTTTAAACACAATGGTAATAAAACTTAGCTTATCTTTAGGTCAAAGCTTGATTATTGACGAAAGGAGATCTCTCTTATAGACGACTTTGACATTAGTGCAACAGTTAATGCCTCTGAAACCACTTAACCAATATAAATCATTTTTTGCATACATATAGAATCCATCTCAATCTAAGTTGTGAAGCAAACAGCATTTTAATATTCGACTCGTGACCGGATATATACAATGCCAAATTTCAGAATGTTAATTCTGTGGGCAAGCTGAACAAGGTGTCTAGTCCATAAAAGTGAACTTAGCACATAATTAAGTAATCTTAATGCAACCTGACAATTATCCAATGGTTTATGTTTTGGTTGTATTCTATATATAATGTATATAAACTATTAAATGAAATGTACATTAAATTTTATTATAGTATATAATTTACATTTTATTTACATACTTTATTGTCAGTTTTAAGACAGATTTATACTTTTCTGTGTTGTACTCAACAGCATTCCAGCAAAAAAACATAATTCTAAGTTTTTAATTAATGAATATCACTTTCACATTTCAGGATAGTTTTCAGATACTTAATACACATTCTAGTGCTGAGTTTGCTCTCAATTAAGATGAGTACATGGAATTCTGCAGAAAAGTTTTTGAATAATTTTAAGCTAATTTTCAATCTAAATGACCTGCATTTTTTTTCTTTTTCATAAAGTATTAAAAATACTCAATTATCTGATATTTAAATTACTTTCATATAACTAATTATGCTGTTTTTCTAATGTAATTAAGAAGCTTTGCTATTAAAATACTTAAATTATTTACAAAATTTAAGTTTATAAGATAATTATCATATATTTCCTTCTATTTTTAGGTGGAAGAAATTAGAGAAAATATTGATAAAATACAGACAAATGTGGAAGAAGTTAAGAAAAAACACAGTGCAATTCTTTCGGCACCGCAAACAGATGAAAGTACGTGCTGTAAATATTCTTAAATTTATTTATTTGTTACTTTATCTCCTAATATTTTCTAAATAATTAATTTAGAAATTAAACAAGAATTAGAAGATTTAATGGCAAACATTAAAAAGACTGCTAATAAAGTTCGGGCCAAGTTAAAAGGTACTTAAACAGATATCTTATGCAAAATTTTGTGCTTTGAATTTTATTATCTTATTGGATATAATTATTATTATTTTTAAACTTAATTTCCCCAGTTATGGAACAAAATATTGAACAGTTGGAGCAGACGAGTATGATGTCGGCAGATTTCAGGATTCGCAAGACCCAAGTATGATTTATAAATTGTAAATATCACTTTATAGAAATAAGAGTGTTGTAGTCTTAGAATTAATCAGGTTTGGTATGAAATTTCTAATTGCAGCATTCCATGTTGTCACAAAAATTTGTTGAAGTCATGACTGATTATAATAAAACCCAAACCGATTACAGAGAAAGATGCAAGGCCCGAATACAGAGGCAATTGGAAATAAGTAAGAGAACTTTGTTAAATTTGATTATATTTTGATTTTATTTATTATGCTAAATTTTATAATTTTAATTTATCAAATTTGTGAGGTTAACATCAATAAGATGCCATAATTTATATTGTTTAGCTGGTAAAGTTACTACTGATGATGAACTAGAAGATATGCTAGAAAGTGGAAACCCTGCCATTTTTACTCAAGGAGTAATTATGCTAATGTCATTTATACTATATAAGAATTTGTTAAATATTGTGTAAGAGTAATTATTGAATGGAAAATGTCTTTACAGATAATCATGGAAACTCAACAAGCAAAGCAAACTCTTGCTGATATCGAAGCACGCCATGCAGATATTATTAAATTAGAAAACAGTATAAGAGAACTTCATGATATGTTTATGGATATGGCAATGCTTGTTGAAAGTCAGGTTTGTATTTTTTGAATTTGATACTTTTAAGCTTATTGCAATTACACATTCAAAGGATATTGCTAAAATTTAAGAACATGCAAGCATTTACTATACTTAGATCAGTAGACTTGTCTTCTGCAAATTTTTTTTCACTTATTCCCAGAAAAATAATTAATTTACAAGAGAAACTCTCACATACTTGACAAATTTAAGATCAACATTAAAGCTGAATTATGCAAAGTATCTGCAAACATGATGGATAGATCATTTTGAACACTTACTGTGATCATACATATATGGCCTGTCTCAAAAGTAAGATACAATCTTTTAATAACTTATTAACAAATTACATTCAAATGGCTAATTGAATTTTTAAAGTACACAGTCTGTACTATTTTTCTATATAGTCATCATTCTTTTCTAAACACTTTTCCCAGTGGGAGATTAGAACAAAAATATCATTCAGAAAATGTCTCCATGTAATGATTTGAACAAGTCCATGACTGCCTGTTTAATCATCTGAAAAGTCTAAGACTTTTCTTAAGTGGTCCACAAAGGTAAAAATAAGCAAATATGCTGTCTCTGATCATCCTATTCTCTTACAGTCTCTCTCATAATACTTGTATAATTTAGTAATAAATGCATCTAAACAGCAAAAAAATCAGCTATATATATATATGAAGCATTCATGCTATAATATTGTAAATGCCAAAAAACTTTTCAGGAGACATGAAAAACATTTTTTCTAATGAATGAATTTATTTCAATTTTACAATAAAATGGTAAAAAAACTCACTATGTTACAAATTCTCTGAAATATCAAAATGATGTAAATATAAGTTGTAGTGTTTTTAAGTGCCAAAAGTCACATGACTTGTACTCTGGCGCTTTAAATGTTATATCTTCACATAAATTCATCTTCAAAATGCAGACACTTACAGTGCCAATATTGCCACAATATTCTTTTGTGGCAGAAAACATTGCATTTAAAATTCAATTCTTCAATAAAATATATTTAGAGAAAAATGAGATTTACAATGTTATTGCACTGCTTGCTTCATATATTATTTGCTGGGTTATTGTATTTAATTGCATTTAGTACTTCTCTTACAGTGCATATATATATATAAAGTATGGAGGTCACATAAACTACACTAAACAGGGAAGTAGGATTTTGTGTTACTTATCAAACTCAAATTTGAGATAGTTTATAGAAATGCACAAATTTCTTTCATTTATATAGAGGTTAATTTTGGCCTAATACAGAGGCATCTGCATTAGACATATACAGTTTGTCACTGCAGCAAGAATACCAAAAGTTCTCAACTTGTAAACATTTATCTCGGTTTAAAATTAAATTTTTCTGATTTACAGTATTAAAAATTCTGAAAGGTTTTGTTTAACTACATAAAAACATTATACCATCACAATTTTCCCCTTTTAGCATTTAGAAGAAAATTTTATTCATTACTGAATTTAGAAGAAAATTTTATTCATAATAATTGACTAATCTTTGCAAAAACACAAATTGAATTCAGTTTTTTTCTCCCCTTTAATTCCTCTGAAAAATTCTTTCCTAAAGTAATAATCAAAAGCACTGTATAAAATTCTTAGATCTTTCATTTGTATACTTCTCCAAAGTAGAATGTGGAAAACTAACTTCACTCTGGGTTCAAATTATTTTTAGATAAGATTAATCCTTAACATATTAAGGAATATGCAAGTACACTCATTGATAAGAGAATTATGCTCCAAGGAGGAGACATTGGAATCAATTGAAACTTTTAGTGCAAATGTAATTATAGTGGTAATAATTTTGAAAAAAAATATACAAAATATCTTATGGACAAACTCTACAAGTGTCCTCCTTCCTTTTTGTTTTTTCACACACCAATAGAAATATCAAATCTTGCAGCAGATTTGACTTTTATCTGGAGCTGCACTGAAAAGACCAAAAGGAACAACTGTACAAGTGGACACTCATAGAGTTCTTCCATAAGAAATTTTGTAAATTTTTTTTTTTCAAAATTATAATTATTGTCCTGGCATTAAATTTTATTTTAAGTGGTAATAATTGTTTACAATACAGTAGAGCGTCGGTTATCCGAAGGAATTCCAGTCGACAAATTTAAATTTTTGCCAGTGCTGTGGCGCTGTAATCTTTGGCTATGTCTTGGGCTACTCAAATATTTTACGTTTTTGATACTAAATTAACTTCTGAAGTATAATTTTTTATTGTTTTTATATTTTTCAATATATTTATTTGTTTGTACAAGATAAAAAAATAATTTTTAACGATACAATAGTCTTCGTTAGGCTTAACATCGACGAAAATTCAACGCGAAGCGACACGCAATGGAGAAAAATTTCAACACGGGATAAATTAATATATTTTTTCGTACATAATTGGTTATCCGAAAAATAAGTTATCCGAACAACCCCAGTCCCCAATTGATTCGGATAAACGACGCTCTACTGTATTTAAACAAAGGGACAATTTTTTGTGAAACAACAGTTAAATTTAAAGAAGACTTTAGTATCTTTTAGGACATTTTCTTGTCTAGATACATGCGGCAATACAATTGGACGTGGAGGCATACAGACACTATGCTGTCCTGTGAAATTTTGCCCACAGATGTTGTAATTGCCACTCCAGATCTCTTGCACTCCTAGATGGCTAAAGTGTGCATGCATTAAATCTGGTTTCACATGATAAATTTGGGTTCTGTGTAGACCAGGGATCGGCAACCTTATGAGTCGGAAGAGCCAAAAATTACAATTTACAAAATTTCAAAGTTTTTAAAGAGCCACAAAATTTTTTCTTGCCAACAATAAATAGTACTCCCATAAATAAAGTTTTTTCATAAAAAAAACTAATCTATTTATTCAAAATTGTCTTGCGACGAAAGCGAATTAAACCTCATAGAAACATCCGATGACGACGTCATTCGAGAGCTTCCGACGGACTGACGACAGTGACGACGCGTGTCACGGGGGAGGGGTGCGATGAAAAACGAGTACAAGTGGCTGAGAGATAGAATCAGTGCCGAATTATCGTTAATCGATTCAGAACGATTTTTAAATGGTTTTTTTTTGATAAAATAAATAATATTTGCGTATGGAACTAAAGAGCCGCAGCTTCACATCCAAAGAGCCCCATGTGGCTCGCGAGCCGCAGGTTGCCGACCCCTGGTGTAGACCAAAGAAGTGTGGAAATGCAATGGAGACATTCCTGGGAAACCCTAGCTCTGTGTGGCTAAGCATTATCTTGCTGGAAAATGGCTGTTTACAGCTCTACCATGAGAGGCAATACACAATAGCAAAAGATCTCTTGAATGTATTACCATACTGTCAGTGTCCCTCATATCACTACTAGGATGACTCTCGCACAACATGGACACATTGCCTGTTGAGAGATCCTACTGATGTGCCTCACTGTTGAATGGTACACTCAACAATAAAACATAGTATGGATGTAGAGTGAAAGTAGACTATAGTGTGAAATTAGGGTAGAGGATCACAGGTGATGCACTCACCTGTGATCCTCTACCCTAATTCACATTCTAACATAGTGGTTGTTTAAGTGACAAATCCTGTTTTTTTGGAAATAAACATGATACACTGGCATTCTGTGCTTCTCAACTACAAACTTCATTTGCAATTGTACTGTGCTAATGGCAAGACATGCAGTAGTCATTGTGCTTGTGAATTTGCTCTATTAGTCACCAGCAAATGGTACAGAAAGAGATAGGGTTCTTTATTGATTCTTGCTCCTTTCTCTAGATGTTGGACAAAGATACTATTGCAGCTGTTTGTGCTTGTCTCCTGGTGATCTGTCTAGGATATCACATGATTTATTTGTCCCCTTACATATCCAGTGTCTCTGACACTTCCCCTCAAACTTAGGTCAGAATGGCCCAGATAGTTGGTACTTTGATCATTTTGCTTCTCTCAGCTTGATGATAAACCCTTTCTTAAATAAATTCCATCTGCTATGGGTGTATCTGTTTGACGGCATCATACAATTGTGCCTAGCATTTAAAGATATCAAAACAGTTGATACACTGAAAATTCTGCTTATAGTGAACCTCTGTGAGACTTTTTATAGGGTACTGGAGTAGCATTTTTAAGGCATTCTGGTGGCATAATCTGGTATGCAATTGGATCATAATTACAATCATTTACACATGTGACATTTGCATGTATAGCTGTATGCTGATTTTTGCAGTAATCTGACAATTCTGTCTGGGTTCATAACTTTTTGTTAATTAGTTTATATTGATAAAGATAATCTTTAATACACAAATGATGGCCGGATAGACAAAATGGTTAAGGTATGTAAATCTTGAGAGATCAGTCTCTTACTCTTAAGTTTTTACAAGGGTCCAGTTCCTGTATTGCCACTTGGCTCCATTGTGAACTTGGCCAAACTTATGGTGGCTGGCTGGGGACATGGACACATTCAGCATCCACATCCTTAGCCAATGTAACCGACGATGGTTATCTAATGTTTAAATATATCTGGAAGAGGAGATTAGAACAGAGGCTCTGGTGACAACTGGCAATGCATCTGCACAGGAAGTAGCAGTTGCAATATGAGTCCTGCTCAGAGCCAATTCGTTTCTTCCAAAATTTTCTAAATAATTTAATTTAATTATAATTATTAAATCTAATAAGAGATGGTGCTGAATACTTCCTTCTAGTAACAAATTATTTAGTAATTAATTTAAAATAGCCCAATATAATCTGGTAGTTGTTAACTTATTACATATATATCTATTATAGAATTTAAGATAAAGTTTTATTGTAAAAATAGATATTTTGCTAAATGAACACAATTAATATTGATTTATAATTTGAATAATTTGAAAATATTTTTGTTTTATAACTGTTATTTAATTTATCAAACTATCAGTTTATTTATCAAAACTTTGTAAACAAGCCACCGAATACTGGTAATTGCTTGCAGGTTTGTACCTGACCACATGGACTGGCCACATGGAGATTTATGGATTTCTTCATGTGTGCAACATCTAAATAGGGGCAAGAGACATCTCATTGGCAGATCATCCAAGTGTTACATTGCCACATCTCATCAAACCATTTTCCAAAATGCTGCCTGTTTAATATCAATATAAATTTAAAAAAAACCACCAAAAAAAAAAAACTAATTTTATGATACAGTATTGTATATTCAAATCCAGTTGCCATCTTTTGATGAAATGCCTAATAATAATTTTCAAAAAGCTTCCAATTTTAATAGTGTATTTAAATTTTGTATCAGTTTCCATCTCTTTGAATTATATTAATATGCATAAATTTAATTTGCATGCTTCTGAATTTGAAACAAAATATTTTTATCTTTGCAGGGTGAAATGATCGACAGAATTGAATATCACTGCGAACATGCCAGAGATTATGTGGAAAGTGCCAAACAAGATACTAAAAAAGCATTGGTATATCAGAGTAAGGCTCGAAGGGTATGTTTGTTAAGTATTATTTTTATATAAGGGTTGACTTTGTTAATCCAAACAACCAACCAAGCAGAACAATTTACACTGTTTTTGTTATTTAGTCATTCATTTTACATTGTTATTTGGTTATGTTTAATTTATGGAATGTTAAGTTTATTTTTTTGTTATTGTTTATTTGCATTTATTTACTTTGGTTCTGTTTATTTTCAGAAATTGATTATTATTATTATTATAGCGGTTATATTAATCATCATTATTGCACTGATCATAGCCCATGCTGCAGGTGCCATCTAGAAAGATGGGGTTTTTCTCAATGGCCCATAGTACGGTCACAATAACAGGGAATGTTTAGCATTTGCAGTCCGAAGAATGCCAGAAAAACTGAACTCTTATCGGGTTATCTTTATGAAAACAGAATCCACATGCACACCATATTTATGTTATATTCAAGACATTGAATGTACGAAACCACTTTTTTAGATTTAAACTCGAGGTTCCTAATTATCGTACTTCAATATACGTGTAATTTTAACAGTTTACCTTTATGTTTTTGTTAATATGTTTTATTTCTCACGGGATATAATGTATTTATGCTAGCATTTTGTATTCATAATTGTTTTCTTACATATTCCAAATTAATTAATTAATTAAAAAAACCTTCCATTTTTTTTATTTTATATATCACGTTCTGTACTTAAAAACCTTATACACGTGCATCTCTTTTTAATTATATATTTTATGCATTACTCTGAGAGAACCAATTTGAAAATTTCTTTGCATTTCAACATGAATCTCTCTCAATTTTGTTTGTTAAATGATTAATTTATAACATTTATTTTTACTTTGTATATTATTTAAATTGTGTACTTACATTTTTGGTTAGTCTTAAAGACTTAATTTCTGTTCCTTTAAACATAAATTTGGACCCAATTTGTTAAATGGATGTTCATCATGCCTCTACCAAACAATGTTTTTATAATCCAAATTTATGCATAAATAATGTAAACAATAACTTAGGAATATATATCTATACATAATTATATATGTCCAAATAAACTATATAACGATGCAATTTCTATTTGTACATTCATTTAAGTCTTTCTAATGGACTTAATTCCAAATTTTAACAAAATCACAGTTAATTATTTTCTAAATTATATATTATATGAATATAAATATAAAATTATGTTTTACACTTGGTTTATGCACAGTTCTGCACCATAGAAGCAATTATATTTTGAGTTAATTTGATTATGTATCATGTTAATTTATTAAGAACATGGAAGTAATACAGGTAAAATTTTTGAAAATAATGTTTAATTTAATTAAAAGAAAACAATCTGCTATATTTAAGAAATATAAATAAAATTATTTATATACTGTTTTTTTTTCCTTGCAGAAAAAGATCATTATCATGATCTGTGTGGTTATCCTTATAATCGTATTGGTGTCGACATTAGGAGGAGTGTTAGGAAGTTAAATTAGGAAGAACTATTTTCTGGGTTTGGCAATCTCATAACGTTAAATTATATTTTTCTTCTACTTTTTTAACACTTTGTATAATTTGTTTTTGCATTCATACCGTCTAGAATGCCTATCTTCACTTATTCGTTCTGTAAATCTTCTTACACGATACTTTGGAAGGAAATTAATTAGAAACAGTTTTAAAAATTAGAAAAGTTAAAGTCTGAAATTAGGATATTTTAATACAAAAATTTATATTTTCCCCTCTTGGAAGATTTTAACACAATTTTTATATAAAACTACTTTAAAAAATTAACAATGATCAGAGATTTAAACATAGCATATAAACTATTTTTCTGATTGTTAACATGCAGAAATTTTTGTAAAAAAAGTTTTAAACACTGTTTTATATCTCTAAATTTAGTTTCTATAAAGATTTGAATATGAAAAATGAAAGGAATATTTTATTTTTTAAATGAAACTTTTTACCTTGTGATGCATAGAACTAGTCAAGAATTTGTTTTGTTATCTTTTCATATAAAGAAATAATTGTGATAATTCTATTTTAGTACTTAAAATAAAAAGGAGCAACACACTACATAAAAATAATATCATTAAATATAATTTATTTTTTATCTGAACATTTTTTATAATAATTAAATCTCTGTGACTAATATATAAATTATTAAATATTGAATTTCTAGAGTTTAAAAATGATGTATTCACATTGGAGAGCAACATATTTGTTGAATATTTATTTATTAATATCCTATGCACGGTGATGGTTTTAGATTATGTGAGGCCCTAGGCAAGAATAGATTTGTGAGGTCTTTTTATATAATGTAAACCTGTATCACACAATGATGTGTAAGATCTAGGATCCAAGTTGATAAAAGATTCAAAAATTGAGTAGCTTTTGTGTATTTGAGGTCCCTAAAAGTGGGGCCCTAAGCAATCGACTTGGCTTTTATGACACCCGAGTGTTTCAAGAAGCTTCTAGAGATGATACACAATTCCCTAATATCCAATACTTTGTTTAATTATTGGATATTGGGGAATCTTGGCACACTTAGGCAAAGATTGGAAACCTCTGCCCTAGGAAAAAACCTAGGTTCCCTAAGCCTAAAACCACCATTGTCCACTTGGCATTTATGAAACATAATTTGAAACACTGTGTTCACATTAGTATTTGTTAAACAAAATAATCTAGAGCAGGATCATTAGTATGCTGCAGATAGTGCTTGTTGTAGAAGTGGTAAAATCAAGAAAATTAACACAATGAAATGTTATATGTATATATTCATTTAAGAGTAATTTGTACTTCTTATGAAAGTTCACCCCCCTTTTTTTTTGGCAAAGATGCAGAAATGTTAGTGCTTTGTTTAGCCATTCTCTTGCAAACTTCAATCATATTGAACACACGATGCCTGAATGTTAAGACGGATCTCTCTAGACTTCCGACTGCAATAATGCCCAAATTTTTCTAAGTTTACTCTCAAATTTTCATGGTAATTTTAAAATATCTGATATAAAACACACACGATTATATGTTCATTAGTATTGTTTGTTATCTAAATTATTAAATGCTGTCATTAAGGAGACACATTCAATCATTTAACGTTTTTATGTATATATTGTACATAGTTTTTAATGATTTGGAATTTATAAATGTTGTGCTATACCTTCAATTTTTGAACTACACAACTCCAGTTTAAACAATTTTCCTCTACTGTGATCACCTGCTAAACATAAAAACCCCAACGAACAATCTTTAATAAAATAAAGAATTTACCCAGACAAATCTGCATTTATTTTGAGAAAAAAAATCAAAATATTTTCTAAATTTGTTTTTGTACTTTTTAGAAAAATGACATTCGAAACTCTTTACAGATTTTGAAGCTTTTTAATAAAATGGAGTTGTGCAGTGTTTATATATTATACATATAATCTATTAATGCAAATGATAAATGTGTTCCAGTTAGTGAAATTTCTATTATAAGTGCGAGAAGGGACGACGTCCTCGGAGAATCCCCAAAAAAATTCAGTTTGACCGAATCCGTAACTTATAAAAATATATGCAATGAAAGACTAAACAGTATTCAATAGTAGGATGTGACGTCGACCCTCCTCGTACGGAATCATAGATATATACGATGTCATTAAAAGATTGTTAAGAATTTTAAAGGGAGTATTGTCATCATAAAAACGAAAAAAATTATACAACTGTATATGTTGTAGTTACGTGCCTCATTAAAAACCATATTTTCTGAACAATGTCTATATAAATATATATATATCTATGTGTGTGTATATTTTACTGTTATGTGAATATGTTTACTTTGTGTAGCATACAAAACATAAAATAGATAACTTGTAGAAATTTGTCAAGCTCTTTCTGGTTTTTGGCAAATTTCATATTTTGTTTCAAAATTATTATGCATTATGTAATTCTTAAGATATTGCCGTCTTCCTCTCAGCGGCGGAACTTATTTAATCATGTTTTGTTTATGGAAAAAAATGTATTTATGTCAAAATGGTGAAATTTCAATAAAATTTTGTCTTGTGAAATGCTTGTTGTTTTCAAATGAAATGTGTCAGACTTCACATTAACTTGTTTGCATCAAGGTTTAGATTGACATTGAAGCAAATTGTGGACTTGAGCTCTGTCCTTTTGACAAAATATAGGCAACCCATTGGATTCGACTTGTTCTGTTCAGTGACTAGCAACACTCGCAAGCAGCCATCATCACTCCATGGCAATCTTTGGCGACAGTCAAAAACAAATGGTCACACAACATAAAAATCAATTTATTTCTTGATTTCTGGATTTTCAAAATTGATTACACTGGTTGTTATAAAATAATTGCTTCCATTAATCGATTATTTGTACCATAATATCAAATCTTATTTCAAAACTATAAATATATGAGGAATATCTTGGATATTAAACTTTATTTGTCAAAGTATTCCAATTTATTTATATTATCAGCACTTTCTCTGCTTGTTTTGGCTCCAGGCCACGTCTTTTCTTCACAATTGTTTCTTCCTTTTGAAAAAGAGATTCTTGGTATGTACTGAGGTAGTAGAAATGAATGATAATTTTAATGTCAATTTACACAAAATGCTATTGAATAGCTGGAACAAAAACCTTTCGAAGAAACGGTGATGTTCGAGCAGACATTTGTGCACCACTTCCAAAAGCTATGTGGATACACCATCTTTTTTTTCACGAGTGTTTTTTGTACTAGTCATTATTTTTGGCAACGCTAAGACCAAACATCATTGCTCCCAAAGCTCTATTGCTTAGACAGTTTTAGATTCTGTGCATTGGAGTGCCTTCACTTCTGTAATGTTATTGCATATGCACAACGTGACAGAATTGAAATCAGGTTTTGAACTGCAGATCGAAGATGTGCCAATTTCATCACTTTCAATGAAATACCAATAAAGAAATATGTACTTGTGCAAACATGCACAAATACACATTTCTTATTTACACTTACTAAGTATTTTCACTTTGCAACAATGGCACTTTTACAGATGGCAATCTTACGTGTTTAAAATGTCGTAGGATGATATACTTTAACTACTTTGTTTTTATAAACATTTTTGGTCAAAATATAATTATTATTCATAATTTGCATTAAAAGTAGCACAAAATCTGCCAATTAAAAAATTAATATATATTTTAAGTAATAATCCAAAAATAAAACATCTGTTATTGGCTTCTTGATTGTTAAATAATCATTATAATTAACAAAGTTTAAACTATCAGTTACATCTGATTAATCACTCAATATTTGTCTACCTGTCAAAGCAAGCGCATTGACTCTTTTGAATTGGCCTTAACAGAAATACAAATTCTTGCATAAAAAGATATTTGTTTAGCTTAAGGCTGCACGACTTAAATTATTACCTTTGGACCCTGTGGTTAAACTATTCTTAAAACTGTGTAAAGCAATTTTAATTATTGCAAAACTTTTTGTAGTTTGTAGACAATTTATTTGATTTCAGTCAAATATTAAAGATGCATCTTTAATGATGGGTTTTAAGAGAGTCCATTTAAATTACTACTTTGTATAAAATAAAGCTTGGTCCAATAGTTAGTTGATATAACTTTCCAGCCATCTTTTATTATTTAGATAGTTCAGATAACTGATTTAATTTTTTGTGATACTACTATGATTAAATGAACCATTCCTAATATTTTTTTTAACTTCCTGGGTGGAAGAGGGTGCTGTTGTCATTTGGTACAACTTTCGTTGATGCTACGTCACCGTCTGCAAATAAACACGTGTGTAAAAGATTCTTGTGCCGGCGATTTTTCAAAATATTGAGTGTAATCGAGCAAGGAATGTGCATTAAATTTTATTTTTGCAACATAATTACTACTATGAAAACATTGAAAGTGTTGCAAAAAGCCATTGGTGGTGTGATAGTCAGTCAAAAACATGAATTTGAGTGTTACAAGTGTTCTAGGAAGATGGAGAAAGCATTGATGACAAACCAGTCTGGTGGACCATCCACTTCAACTGATGAACAATACATTGCTTGAGTCAGAGTGCTTGATGATTGTTGTTTAACAATTAAGGACATTATTCAACATGTTCCAGTATCGTTTGGATCTTGTCAAGCAATTTTACAAAGTCAGTTGGGCTTGTGGTGCATAGCTTCTTGAATCATCCCAAAACTGTATATCCTTGGCCATATTTTTGGAAAAAATTCATAATTCCAAAAACAGTGTGTTTGAGGCAAATCATTCTTAAAACACATCATTATGGGTGATGAAAAACATGGATCTGTGCTTTTGATGGTTCAACAATCAAGTGCATGACACTCAAAATGTAAAGCAAGACTGAAAAGACCATATCAATCAAAAATCAAGGTTGTGTTGACTTTTCTTCAATCGTTTTGTTGTGTATCACGAATTCCTTCGACTAGTCAAACTGTCAACAAAGTATTGTTTTAGCATTTTGTAGAAAATGACTTGATTTGTGGCAAGAAAACTTGTGGATTTTGCACCACAGTGCATCCGTCACAATGCTCTTATTTAAATATGGTTCCACAAGCTCTATTCGCCAAGTATTACACCTCGTGACTTTCCTCCACTAAAATTTCTGCTTTTTGGTCATTGTTTTGAGTCGATAGTGAATTTTGTTTCTTGGCACCAGTCCTGAGGAGGTTTCACAAAACCAATTTTAAAGCATAATTTTTAGGATTGAAAAAGATTTTCTGCATAAGTGCATTGCAGTGGGAGAGGATTATCTTAAAGGGGATGAAAAATTTTGATGAATAAATTCAATCTTGTATTTTTATTGAGCCATTCCTGATAGTTTTTGGTATTTACCCACCATCAAAAAGTCATTGCTTAGAACAAGTATGAGATGCTTTTAAACGTTGCATTCTTGAGTTACAAAGTCAAGACAGAGATCCAAACGAAGGACAATTCATAAATTATTCCTATCATGACTGGCTGGAGTGATTGGTAAAGGATTTTCTCTGCTAAGCATAATTAAGCAAGCTGGATTAAAGTATAAAATTCTATCTACTGATGCATTAGAGTTGTCATCATCTTAAATTTTTTTGCATATTAAATATAAAAGTTGTGACATCTTGTTAGAGCCATGCTGTTCTAGTGTCATCTACCCAATTACGAATTAGTCATGAATTTTAATTCTGTGTTGTTAATTTTGAAATAAAAAATCTGAACTAAAATCAGTTTCTCTGAAATTTAGTATTGGCATGGTCAATGTTCCATTTAGATAACAAGAAGCTTTTAAAATAAAGTATGAGATCACATATCCATGCGAACCAACTAGTTATTGTGGAACAAGATTTTCATGTCTATTTTTTCATGCAGAAATTATGATAATGATTACAAATGTTAAACAGTGAAATAATCTCTAACAAAACTTTTTCAGATTGCAATTTAGTTTTACATAAACTTTGATTTATCAGTTTATGCAATTTTTCCTATCTTTTTTACCTGGAGTCAGTACTTGCCATATTATTTACCAATAGCACATGCATGAAAACTGCATAACATTTAATAACCAACAATTTTATGCTAAATATTTATTTAGGATCTATAAAATATTAAAATAATCTAGTAAAAGTTTCCTTTGGATAATCTACAAGAACTTTTAAAATTTACATTCGGTCTACAATTCGTACGTGGACAATGGAATATATACATTAAAATACGTGAAAGCGGTCTGGTGAGCATCTTTCCTTTCAAGTCTTTTATACACTTATTTTCCACTAGCACCACGGATTGAGTCGTCTTCGTCCATCCAGGAGAAGTCCACATTACAAAAAGTAGTCTGGCTGTGGTTTCTTTGTGGGTATACCTCTGCTTTCCTATAGGAAAAATTGAGATTTTTGATTATTGCTGCATAAAGTTTTAGTCACGTAAACTTACAGGAGGAGTTTTACCTGTGGAGCGGCTTCGAATATGGTAAATTCCCTTTGGAGTCGTTCATCTAATTCTAGAATGGCAGCAACATTCCCACACCTATAAAAAAAATTATAATAGAGATCATTCATCATGGATCTAAAAGAACTTTTCACATTGTGTGAGAGATTTCAAACTGCTGAAATCACTGATCATTATGAAAAAAAAATAACTATTTCATAATTATTCCATCTATTCATGATACTAAATCATATAGTTTATTGGACTTATTCCTTATAAAAAATAATATTGGCTGTTAGTAAAATTTTTCAAATAGTGCAAACTTAAATCTTTTTCTATCATTTGCAACTATGTTCCTAGAGTTGCTAGAAGTATAGGAGGAAAGTATAAGTAAGGTATATGCTTATTAGAATACTCTGGTGGCTGTTTCAGCTATATTTTCTTAGATAAAGATGGTTTGTTTTTGTCTAAGACTTTCTGAATCATCCTGTATAAAATATTTTGCTATTAAAATCTTCTATACATCAAAGAATTAGGTATAGTAAAACCCCGCTTAATGCTGATTCAATATAATGCAGTCTGCTCAAAGCCTAATAAAAAAATATATTAAACATAAAAAAATATACTAAAAATTTACACTGATTTAAATTATTGCAGCATTTTATTGATTTGTACATAATACAATTATTTATGAACACGAACCAATCAAAAAAAGGTGGCAAAAGGTGTACAATCTATGTTTGTTTGGTGCAATTTTGGAAAAAATTAACACCATGGATGCCACATGCAATATTGACTTCCCTTGGCAAGAATTAAGTGATAAATGCATGAAAGAAGTGTGAAAGAAGTTATGGCTGAAGGTATCCAAGAATTCTCAACAAGAAGAGTCTATTGCTGTATCATTAGGTTGATCAAACTGAACCTAAAGACTAAGAGATGTAGATGAACAGGATGTTGAGGAGTTATCACATGTTTTTGGCAGGTCATCATTGATAACTGTGTTATCAATGATGACCTGCAAGAACTGGCAGAACAAGGAATTCATGTAGAACTGGAAAATAGTGATTCTGAAAATGAAGATCCCAAAAAATTTCTCTACAGATTTCCTTAGTAAAAGTTAGGTAATGATAACTGAATTCATTGATCCAGATTCTGAAAGGAGTGTAAAAGCAAAACGAGGCATTTTGGATGAAATCTTCTGCTAACGACATTTGCTTAATGAAAAAAAAAAAAAAGAGACAAATGAAACTTCACAACTTTGTTGCAAAAAAACAAGACTTTCAGAAAAGTCAGGATCTTCATCATAAAAAATTAACTAAACATATTATTATACAAACTGAAGTAAAAGTTTTTTATTTTTGGTCACGTGTGCCCNAGAACTGGCAGAACAAGGAATTCATGTAGAACTGGAAAATAGTGATTCTGAAAATGAAGATCCCAAAAAATTTCTCTACAGATTTCCTTAATAAAAGTTAGGTAATGATAACTGAATTCATTGATCCAGATTCTGAAAGGAGTGTAAAAGCAAAACGAGGCATTTTGGATGAAATCTTCTGCTAATGACATTTGCTTAATGAAAAAAAAAAAAAAGAGACAAATGAAACTTCACAACTTTGTTGCAAAAAAACAAGACTTTCAGAAAAGTCAGGATCTTCATCATAAAAAATTAACTAAACATATTATTATACAAACTGAAGTAAAAGTTTTTTATTTTTGGTCACGTGTGCCCCTATCCCTATTTATTCTATGTTAAAATGACCTTGTTTAACACTGTTTCGTTTAGTACTTTGTCGTCTGGGAATGCATCCCCCGCGTTAAGTGGGGTCTTACTGTATATCTAATAATGGTCCTGATAGCTATCTAGCTCTATAAATTCACTGCTTGCATCTCCGTGCTTGTTGTAATAGTGGATATGGATTTTGCTGATTCATGTGTAAAGTTGTTAGTTACATGCTGTAAAATTGGTTGAGTTGGACTATACATACATACATACACAAACTTAAACAGACTGACTACAAGATAAAAATATTGTAATTTTTTTGTAGTTGTTTTTTTTTCTGTGTTGTAAAAATTAATGCCAATAATATGATCTACTATACAACCATTCCACTGGAATCATTAACATTATCGAGTGCATTATCTTTAAATTACATAAACAATAGCATGCCTTTCCAAAATACGTATTAGGGTGCCATAACAATGTCCCTTGGTATGACACTGATTTATATTAAATACTTGGAAGATAAAATAGTATAGATTTATATTTTGACAGATCTTTAAATAGTTATTTATCAAAACGTACCTGTAACAGTAATTGGGTGCCGACCATACAGTTAAAACTGTTTCACTAAAATGCCATTTGTAACCTTCCATCACCAATTGATGTGCCCTGCAGATCATGTCAATGTCGTTGGCGGCATTAAACTGGCTGACCACGTCACTTCCGAACAGGTATCCCGCACCTCTCGGACTGACACCCCAACCCTGAGTATCTGGAACAAAAATTATTGGATTTGTATAATAAACAAATGGAAAGAATTAAACTATGTAATTAATTTTGAAATATAATTATTATTAAATACACTATAGATTAATTTTTGCAAATAAATAATATAAGCTAACAAAATATAAGATCAACTTAAAATGTTAAAAAATGACTTCAAATTTACAAAAACTCTTAAAAAATTTTTCAAAAAGAATTGATCAATCAATATTATATACTACAATGTAAAATCAAATTTATAAATTTAAGATGATAATAAGATATTTTGGATTTCTTTAACATTTTGGTATGTTTCTAATTGTTAATTACAAGTAAAATTGAAATGATTTAAGTTAAAAATACACTCCAACAGAGCTTCAAGAATTTCTGAAAACTTGTTTATTAATTTTACATCCTTTCCCTAACATAAACAATGGCAGACAATTTGTTAAGTAAATAATATACCTTTAATAGAATATAAAATATGCAAAATGCACAATATACAGTAAACATACTTTTTAATTATTTTCTTATTTCTAGTATATAGAAAGTAACACTCATTATAAAGACAGATGCCAGTTGTCATTTCAAGTTTAATTTGGTTTAACATAAGTAAATATTTAAATACTATTAATAATGAACATCAAATGGGTATGTGCAAAGATATTAACCACCATCCTCAAACAGTATCTGTAGAGAAAATATGCAGTTTAAAACAGTATCCACAGCTATCATATGAATAAAACCAGTATCTTAAATTATAATTTCAAGTTATACAATATTACTTAGTTAAGATGGAAATGGTTATGTACATGCAACATCGTTAATATTTTACATTCCAAGAAAAATTAGAGAATTGGTTTCCTATTGAAAAATTTAGAAAACACTGTATTAAAGTATTATATATCTTATGTACTACTTGACTCTGATTAACTTTGATTTTTAATTCAATCATAATATATAAATTTCATAATTTATATATGATGATTCATATACATTCAATACTGATTGTAAAAAATGATGATCCTGAAAAATTTAATAAACTTCATGCAGCTCTATATGTTTACAAAATTATTTTTGAAGTGCAGTTACTTTGAAAGAATCGACTCTAGTACCAGTGTTGGAAGGTAGTCAGTATAAATGAGGATAATAATTAATTGTGAATTTTCTGTTGAATACAAAATATAAAGGTGACTTAGAAAAACAAATGAGGAATTGTTTACTCCAATATGTAATATGTAAAAGTAAATTATAATTTAAAACAACCAATTCAAACTTCTGAAAATATGTAAAGACAAGCCATCTGACAGTTCAATGCTTACCACAAAAATATGACCAACCTATCAAGTACATCAAATTCTTTAATAGACTTAGTTCTGTCAACTTCAAATATTAATCAATACTATTGTCTCAAGCCTTTCAATGAAAAAAAAAACAAAAACAAAACATTACTCTTGTTTGTTTTAAAGAAACTTCTTTTAATATCTGAAAATAGTATAAATGAAAAACATCTAAAGCTTTATAAAGATTTAAGCTCTACCTGTGAGATTGTTACTTCAAGCAATTTGTTGAAACTGATTCCTCATATGCATTTCCAGTAAATAGGCACTAAAATTTTTTCATATATAATTTCATATAAAATTTTTTCATTTTATATAATTAGAACTTGAAAGTCACTAAAGTAATTAGTGGAAAAATATCCTAATTCTTTGATGATAATTCCACTTATAAATGGTCTATTAGAATCTAGTGGACATACGCAAGAACTTGACAGGAAAAATAATTTTCATAAAATGATTAAAAGAATCAATTGTAAATTTGTTATTAGTCTACTGACGAAATACAAAAATATGGAAAAGAATAATGTATCAGATGACTAACATTTTTAGATTCCCACTTTGATAATTTTTCTATTTCTAGTAGATTGAAAATTATTAAAAGCTAAATTTTTCAAGTTTTAGTAATAGCAAAGTTTCTGAAAAATCAAATACTCCTTGTCAAACCATCTGTAAATTTAATAATAATTATTGATGATGAAAGAACTAGTATTTAAAATTCATTAAAAATACACTGTCCAGATTTCAGTTTTACTGTGTCAACATAATAGTAGAGTAATACATCACAGTGAAGTACTGAAATTCAGAGATATTTAAGGATAATCTTTTGCTGAGGTATATGAAGACACTTTGAAATAGTGGAAAAATAACTAGTGTAGATATCCTTAGTTGAGCAAGGTAGCAAGGGAAAAAATTTGTGCTTTGGCTCAGTACCTTGCAAAAAAGATATTCTTGAAAGCTAGGTTAGTTTCTTTTTTCTGTTATCATCATCTTTCTGCCAAAAAACAGTATGATATTTTTAATATTCAAAATAAAAGATTTTGACAGATGATATTCAAGGACGTAAACTGCAAAAACACTTTTAAGTTCATTTTGTTAATATTGTATATCTGCGCAGATAAGACGAGGTATAAATTTTTGTCAAAGTTTTATAGTTTTAGCATATATCTGTCCTATAAGATGACCCCCCAAACTATCAACAGCCTATGAATTTTGTTTAGATCAGCGATCATCATCTGGATAATAATACTGTATAGTGTATACAGAATTATGTCCTATTTGTAATTTTTCAAATGAGTGAATTTTATTATCTTTCATCTGGCGGCAACTGCCTTACGATTGTTGCATACATTCGTACTGATTCGGGTAATGACCTTGACTATTCACAAAAATGTCATATGGACTATTCTATTTTGTGGACATACTACTCTCTACTAGTAAATAATTACAGTTTGTTGGTTTTTTATAATGTTTTAATCTATATAAATTTCAATCTAATTTTTTTTGTATCTGTCCTATAAGATGACCCCAGATTTTGGGTGTCTTTTTTAATGATTCAACTATTGTCTTATCTGCGCAGATATATGGTACAAGTCGACCCCCCTATAACACTGTTGATTTTTCCATTTTATATGAATTCCATGTTGTACGAGTCACTTAGATTTTACAAATACGTGAGCTGTTCACAGCCTGGCATATGTATTTGTAAAATCTAAGTGACTTGTACAACATGGAATTCATATAAAACGGAAAAATCAACAGTGTTATAGGGGGTCGACTGTAATTATAAGACCATTGGTCACTGGCAAGTCACTAAAGAACTCAAAATAAATGACAACAAAAGTTAACAAGATATAACAATATCATACTATGAAACTAATAAATTTGACATTTTATAAAATTTTTAAAATTTTCAACACTTACATTTCAAAATACATTGATCAGTGTCTAGGTAACTATTTGACAAAATGAATTTAAATAGTGATTGATTTGAATTGTATGCTATTTAAAATATATTAAGTTTTTTTTTATTTGTTGTTGATTTTTGATTAAAATACAAATTTAAAAACAAAAAATTCAGTGATGTGAAAATTACGAGATGGAAATAATTATTTTTCATCTAACAACTTTTGCCACTCATTATCATTACATAAATGAAAGCATTACGTGTGAAATCAGTACAATCACTTGCATTAACTATGTCACTGGAAAGCAGTCACCACATAATATTAGTAATAGCTGCTATTAACTATGATTCAAATTTCAGAAGCTAGAAACCAGTAACCAGCATTGACAACGATTTGTCTATAACAGTGACAAAATCACTGGTCAACACTAACACAAATCTGTAAGCAATTACAAATGTTCAGTGACTATCCATTTGTCCACTGGTGGGCCCATAAATGATTTTACCACCTGAATAAACCAAATACAGAATAACAATGAAAATTTACTCTACTATTTTAGTGATAAAGAATAATGCCTTCATCATGAATTTTATCATCAATTATATGTAAGGTCAGGTGCCCAAATATTGTCCCCCTAAATTCATTCTTCATCATATCTGATGATGAAACTGTCATCTATCAATCAGTGGCTGAATCACCTCACAAGTAGCCAGTTGGACATTAACAGTGAAATGGTGATAGGCCTGTTGTCCATTGCCGCACAATTTAAGAAAATTTATTTGAAGAAGTGCACTTACAGTTTTCCTTTAGCTTCAAACAATCATTCTGACATATTAAGGTAAGTTACAAAGTGTTTCTTTTACATATCTGTAGCTTGCACCCTACTACTTCTATCCCATAGGTTGACCACCTGTGGGTTGAGCAGTTGGACAGAGAATGGCAGCTATACTTATAAATGTTTTGGTCCTAAATCTGCCCCCTATGGAGTTCCTAAACTTGTCCTGAGGATGAATTTAGGCACCAACATTACCCAAGTTATTTTATTTCACTTATTTTCCTTATTTTACCTATTGTTTCAGAAATCTGGATAAAAGCTATTTTATTTTGTTTCATCATCCAACATTTGATACCCTTCAGAGCTGGTACATTGTTTTCGGTGATAGGACCTCCCTCAAGACAAGACTTCAATCCTCCATTGAAAAACAGCAAAAATGTGAATTAAAAAAAGAAACAGACACAGTCTGTGGCTAAGAAACAAATCAACACAATGGGACCAAAAACCAACCAGAAACATCATCTGTGATTCTGCAAAGAGAACGAGGAAATGTGATCTGATTTCAACTGACTTACAGGATGATGCAGAAGTTCCATACATCACTGTCGTCAACAAATGATGACAACAGTGATGACCCTGATGTGCAATGATCTTTCAGCTGAAAATCACTCTCTCAAGACAAGAAGAAAAATGGGTCCAATGCACCAAATGCTACAATTGGTATCATGAAATATGCTCTTTGTCACCAAAAAGAAAGCAATTCATATGCGATCTCTGCTTGGACAAATAGTTTCATTATTTTTAATACTGTTTTTTCTTTTGAAATGTAAATTTTAATAAATTTTTGTACTGGCAGTATTCATTACTTTTCAAGAGATTTTCAACCTCAAAATATTAAATAATGGTAGTAGAGATAAGGGATGGAACCCCTTTTCCTAAATATAAGAATTTTCATTTTGGTTTATTCAGTGACAAAGATACTTTGTTTGGTTAAATTCTAATATTAGGATTTGTTAATAGCTTTATTTGAAAAATTTTGGATTTTGTTAAGGGGGATATTTGGTCACTACCTTATTGTGAGATGCTAAATTTTTCATATAATTCAGTTGTCAGTGACATAAAATCTTGCTGTTAATCATAATTTCTAAAGCATTTATAATTACAGTTCAAACTTCAAGTTACAGTACAAAAAAAATCTGTTAGATGAATGAATTTTATTTATATATTGCATCAAAAAGTTTTAATTGCTAATCACACAAAAAGTTTGTTTGTGAAGAACAGACTTGGCAATGCCATGAATCAGTAATGTTTGTTAATGCCTTATGAGGTGTCATGAGAAACATCTAAATTTTGAGAATTTTATATTATTTACTATAGACTCATGGAATAATATATGAAACTCATCACTGGCATTACAAAGTCTATTACTCACAAGTAAAAACTTTTTATTTGATCATTTTACATATACAGTGGAGTTCCATACAATGTGATATGTTCCATGACATAGGAAATCCCATTATTGAGATATGCATTATCAGATGATTTATGCAAGTTTAAACCTAAGACTAGAAGTTGAAAAAGAATACGTATACCTCTGTATGACAAAATTAGAATTTTGTATGAGTACCTAGTCACATTATTTTTGTCACATTATAAGGGTGTGTGTTATACAGGAGTTTGCTGTACTTAAGGTAGTGAACTCTCATACTGTTCAGTTAATGATGCTCAAACATTAATGATGTTATATTTTGATATTTTAGCTAAAACATCATCATTTTGCATCCTTACTTTTACTAATCCAGTAGGTTTTGCACTTTTAACATCTACAGACTTGTTGTATCTGGATATTATTACATTTATGATATTTCTGGGTTCTGCAAAAGTCTTGTGGTTTGAAATAAAGAATGTGAGAAAAGACTTCAATGCTGTTTTTATTTTTTCAAGTAATAAAATTTCTTACAGTTACAAAAAGTAGTCATTTTTATTTTCAATATTTTTAATGAAAATAAAAAATTTTTACAAATATCTTTTCAGAATACTTGTAAGTTGCTTATGGATCTCTAAGGTTCTATGAACAATTTGACTAACACTATATTAAATGAATCAACTAACTAATTCTGAACTGTTTTCTGAATTTTATTGTTCATTATGGATGTAGCTAAAGTAGATTAGACATTTATATTTTAGTAAAATATTCAAATATACTTACCTTCAGGATCTGACCATAACAAATCACACATGGGACCATCGTGTGGAACTTCTTGCTTACGATCAATAGTCCTTATTTGATCTAATGATTGAATGGAAGGTGAAAGACCACCGTGTACGCAAAATATCTGAATTACAGTGAATAAACTTAATAAATATATTTGCATTTTTGATGTTAAAAGAGACAAGAAAGTAAAAATAAATAAATAAACCTACTTTTCCATCAATAATGGCAGAGAGACTAAGATAATCAAATATTTCTGTACAATATCTCCATACCATAATAGACCCATATTTTCTCAAACATTCATCATAAAAACCATACACTTGCGTAATTTGTCTACTTTCGTGATTTCCTCGAATTAAAGTTATGCGATCGGGATAACGTACCTAAAAATAAGTTATTTTTACCAAGTAAATGTTCATAAATAGAATAATTTAAGTACCTGTAATTCAAAATTTAAAGTTAATAAATACCTTTAATGCTAAGAGGAGAAGGAAAGTTTCTACGCTATAAAAACCTCTATCGACAAAATCTCCCATAAACAAATAGTTAGTATCGGGAACATCACCGCCGACTTTAAATAATTCTTTCAGATCATAAAACTGTCCGTGAATGTCGCCGCATACCTGAAATTAAAATTTGTTTAGAATTATTTCTTTATATCTTATTTTCAAGCTTTTCCAATAAATTACCTTAGATTACCTTAACTTAGCATATTATGTTTAGATTTTTGAACAAGGTATAAAGTTTCACACAATTCTTTGATAATTGACAATAATAGATGCTTTTAGAGAAGTTGTGATGTTTTCTTTTATTTACAACATTCTTAATAATCTACATGTTTATTTTGCTTCAGATTAAAGTTCTGCTCTTATTTTTTAAGATTAAGCAGGCTCTAATCCAAAAATATAAATAAATAAAAATCAACTAATACAAGTTGGGATTTATGTGGTCTTATTTTATGCAATTTTAAAACAATGTAAACTTTATTACAAGCTTACTGAATTAAAAATCAATTTATCATTTTTACACAGTTATAGTCGAAACTAAATTTAAAAAAAAAACAGTAAAACAAAATGATATTGAATGCTAAATAATTGTTAATTGTCTCCTTTCTACAAATCAATTTAATGACAGTGACTAATAGCAAAATGATTGCGATCACTTTCTGAATCAGTTTTGGTAAACAAAATGATATTACAAGTTTCAATAAATAATGGAAATTGCAAAACTACATGAAATGATGAAAATCCAATATATATATATATATATATTTAACATTATTAGCAATGTCTCAATATTTTTCCTTGTCAATTACAGTAGAACCTCGATTATCCGGACTAATTGGGGATGAAGGTAGTCCGGATAAGGAAAAATCCGGATAATCGAAATAGATACTTTAATTTGTCTTTTAATGATAATACAACACGTTTTCTTTTCGATGACATATTGGTAATATTAAAAGTAAATACTGTATTTAAATCGTGATCAAATTTTCAAGAAACAAACGTTCGTATTGAATTTGGACTACTACTGACCAACGCTAACAGACTACCTATTGTTTAAAAGGCCCTCTGGTGGCGCAAGAAGACGGATTTTATAAAATAAAAAGCAGTTGAAACTGCATTTTTATGAATAAAAATTTGACAAACTATTTATCGTTTTATGACGAGTAAAATTTTTTCGTCGCGTTCGCGGCTTTTAAGTAATGCATAAACCTTCGAGGCGCGAGGCCCTTCGGACCGCGAGGCATAGGCGGTGGCCCACGTCGTCCATGCCTTACGCCGCCCTTGGTCATAGAAATGATGTAATTTGAAAATAAATTATTTATAAATACGTATGTCAAGTTATATTTTTATTACTACGTAAATTATATTTAAGAGTTTACGGCCACTGTGCTGGGTGAGACGTTGTTAAAACAAAAAAAGTTATGCATTCCATCACGTACATAAACAGTGTCATAATTCGCCAAGTGCAAATCAGCAAATTCGTAAAATTTTTGTTTATTTTGAACAATCCGGATAATCGAAAATCCGGATAATGGAGGTTCTACTGTATATCATTTTCAATTGTTACTCTAAAGAGATAATTAATGAATCCTGCCTTATGACTGGTATAAATTTTCTATCATCATTTTATCAAATGCTGCTTTTCTTTTGTTAGTAATCTCTGTGCAGGATTATATAGTAAAAATTATATTTTCAGCAGCATTATATTGATGTACCACAATGAACTAAGAAGTAGGACAGCTCACTTTATGACTGTTTGCATAAAGAGAAAATTTTTCAGGACATAATTAGGTCAAAAAAAAGTAGAGATCTATTATAGTTTGTTCCTTTTATTCTGGTAAATTTGTATGCCACTAATAATTTCTCTCTCAAAATTGCAAGTATGCTGTATATACTTTCAATTAAATTAGATACTGAAAGATGTTTATTGTTTAAAATTACAGGTATAAAATTATTGATTGTTATTCAGTTATTTTGATCATCATTTTGTTTTAAATTCAGATTTTCAGTTATATAATGGACCCGTGTTCTACAGCTGCTTGTTCTGATGGTATGAAATTTTCTATTTTCATTGTATGAAATGTCATAATTAAGTACCTTATTTTATTTCGTCAACCATCTATATATGATATTATAAAGTTAAAACTATATTTTCAGACATGTAATCATCAATTTACGATACTGAGTTTATGAAAAATAGACTGACTCACTTAACAATGGCTTTCTGAGAGTCAATTAAGTTAAAAAAAAAAAAAGGATCTACTGATGTTATGATAAATTTTAAATAATTAAAATTGCAAATTAACATCAGCATTTGAATTTCTAATCAGAATGCCTCAATGTCTTGTATTTAAATTGCTATTATGTTAAAAAACTGAATTATGATTATTGTTAAAAATAGTGTAAATAATCTGAATATTTTCTAAAATATTAAATTATTTTTTTCAAATTGAAAAATAGCCTATTTAATGTTTAAATATACATTAATTTAACCATTTATATGCATAATTAATTAATTAAGCATGTAAATGGTTAAGTGATAATTATATCAATATTAAAAAATAATATATTTAAGATTGACAGATGGCTTCTACTAAAAACTAACATACAAAATCACTCATTGGAACAAACAGATGGCAATATAAAATACTGGACTCAAATCTACACATTCTGCTCAAAATGATTTTAAGTTGTTGTTATATACGTGAAGCAACAAAAAATTTGTACTAATGGAATCATGGTAGTATTATGTATAAAAATATTTTAAAAAAATAAATATAGATTTTAAGAAACAGGAAAATATTTTGTGGATAAAGACTTCTAATCAGTGGCGTGCCGTCATAAAAAGCGGTGGATGCGCCGCTTCCCTTGTATTTTCTAAAAAATAAATACATATTAATTTTAATTATATGAAAATAATCACACAATATTTTATTATAACCTCATTAAGTATCTTATTACAAATTTCTATACTACACGTGAAAAAAAAATAAGATTGCTATTGTATATTTGAATATTAGCGGCGGAGTGGAAGTGCTGTATTGTCAGCATCCAAACAGCCAGATTCACGCATCCGCTTTATAGAGCACCAACCTCACCCGGTTTAGCCACTGGAAGCCTAGGACCTCGGGTGGATGCTACATGTATACCGCATCCAATTCTATCCAGGACCGGTTCTGGGCTGTTAGTCGCCTGCCTGCTAGATATTTGGCTGCCCTTGCCCAATTACGTGAATCACGAGTAGATTTATAACTTAACCCAACCGATAAGAATTTACTGGTATGTTTTTACGATAGTTCTGTATAGTTGACAGGAGTTAAAAAAATCCATTAAAATATTTGATGTGTTTTATTTCGCTCTCCGATTTTATATTACTCGCGGATTTCGATGTTAAACCAGTGATATTATGATTTCGTACATCCCATCTCTAAGGGGATGTAGAAAAAAACGTGTACAATTCTTATATAATGTTAAAAATTAACTGTTACTTTGACAGCATCATTTACAACTAAATTCAATGAATGAGAGAGATGCACGAGGTACAGAAAAAGCTCTAGAATTTATTTTCCTTAAATTTACGATTTATGTATTCGTTTGTCATAAATTTTGTGTTTCCACTTTTTCCCGAGACTACAAATATTTGAGTACAAAGTAACCGGTTTTGACTTATTTCTACTTAAGAAGAAGTTAAATAATTAAGCGATTAGGGAATTGGGGATATAAACAAAACCCTGATAAAAGAGCCGAAATTTTACTTAAACAAAGCCTAACCAAACCAATCTCTAGCCGAGTACAGTTGAGACTGATTTCTTCGAAATATTAGATGTAATAAAAACAGACATTTTTCCAGTTCAACTACAGTGACCAAAAAGTTGTAAATTTTGGAAATTTTAGAAATGTTGCATTTATGTTCTATTCTTAAGTTTAAAATTTGTGTTCATTTTTGTCTGATGAAGAAAGCCGTGTGTCTGTAAAAGTACTCGCAATTTTTAATAATACAGGTAGGCCTCCTACAACACGGTATCTTTACAACGCGCTTTTGCTCCAACGCGGTTGGAAAAATGCAGAAATTTTCTTACAACGCGGTTTACGGTATTTAGAAATGAATTATCTTTCACATAACAGAAAAATCGTAACAGATCACTTAATACGCGCCGCAGTTCGGTGTACAGAGCTAAATGTCCTCGAAAACAGCTGTTTGTCCACATTGACATGTTATTCCCATGAAAGTTTCAGGGGAAGACTGGTTTCTAGACAGATGTGCATCAGTTACCATAAACACTTAAATATATCACTGAATTTTCGATAATTTATACTCTTTCAATAGGTGGGAACCGCAAAAATGGTCAAAAATACAGTATAAACTTCTATTGAGTGTATATTTTTAACAACATAGTGAAGGGAAGTTATTTTTTGCTATTTTTACTGTCCACAAAACTGCTTGAAAAAAGTTTAGCTGTAACAATGTCGAATGAAAAGAAAGGACCATCGTTAAAAAGGAAATTTATATCTCTTCAAATAAAGATAGAAATTTTGAATAAAATTAAAAATCAAGAGCGGATAGCTGATATTGGTAGGCATTTTAATTTAAATGAGTCAACTATTCGGTTGATTAAACAATAGGAAGAAAAGATTAGGAATTCGGTCGCATCCGGATCATCTATTCTTGCAAAAAATGTTGCTCGTCCGAGAGCACCTATAATAAAAAAAA